CTGTCGTTTTGTTCTTTAGTCTAGTTGTGGAGGATGTTGCTTCACTGGCCCAAGTTGGCACCATCATTGCACTCTTCCCGGGCGAGGCAGATCAGTCGTCGGCTTCTGGACAGCCGCTCAGGGCGGCTTGAGGACCGCTCACACTGGCTGCTGGGTACACATGGTAGCCCATGGCAACCCACTGCAGCAGTGGTTGCAGCCTATGCCGTTGCTGGCCACTCACCGCAGCCTAGCTCCAAGTTGAGCTGTTGTTCAGCATCTTAGCTGTAGAGGGCAGTGTCACTGGCCCTCATATGTAAGATCTGAACCAGGGCCCTCTGGCGTCCCAAGCCAGCTCTTAACCAATGTGCCACTCGGCCGGCCCATAAGTGAGTATTTAAAATTTCATTTTCCCATTGTTTGCTGTACCATATAGAAATATAACTGAATTTTGTATATTGACCTTATGTTCTGTGACTTGCTAATTTACTCATTCTAGTAGTTTATTTTTATAGATTCCTTAGGATTTACTATGTAAACAATCATGTCATATTCAACTAGAGAGTTTTACTTATTTTCCAATCTATATACCTTTCTTTTTCTTGCCTTATTGCATTGGCTGGGATTTTAGGTACAGTGTTGAATATAAGTAGTGAGAGTAGACATCTTTGTTGCCAATTTAAGGGGAAAAGCACTCACTATTTCATTGTTAGCTATCATGTTAGCTGTAGGTTTTTCAAAGATGCCCTTTGTAGGTTGGGGAAGTTTCTTTATGTTCATATTTACCTGAGAGTGTGTTTTATTATCAGTGGATGTTAAATTTCATCAACTGCTTTTTCTGCATCTTTGAAGTTGTATTGTTTTCTTCCTTAATCTCTTAATATCGTGAATGACATGGACTAATTGTTGAATATTAAACTAACCTTGTAGGGCCGGCCGAGTGGCTCAGTTGGTTAAGAGCTCACTCAAGAGTGCGAGCTCTGAGCAACAGCAGTTTGATTGCCAGCCCGAGCTGAGCTGCCACTGAGCTGTCTACAGGTGGCAGGCTGGCTTAGCTAAAAATAAATAAATAAACAAACTAACTAACTAACTAACTAACTAACTAACTAACCTTGCATTCCAGAGGTAAAACCCTCTTGGTCATAATGTATTATTCTTTTTATATATTGCTGATTCAATATATTAATATTTTGATAAGGATTTTTGCAACCACATTCTTCACAACGGTGTAAATCATAATTTACATGGGNGTCTACCTGTCTGTTCCCCTTCCCCGATTCTCCAACGCTGTTCCCCTCCCCCAATTCCCCAATAAAATCTTAAAAAAAAAAAAAAGTTTGGGCCGGCCAAGTGGCTCAGTGGTTAAGAGCTCGCTCAAGAGTTTGAGCTTTGAGCAACAGCGGTTCGAGTCCAGCCCGAGCTGAGCAGCCGCTGAGCTGCCAGTAGGTAGCAGGATGGCTCAGCTTACAAAAAAAAAAAAATGTTCTATAAGCTATTTAAACCTTCTTGGTATCGGTTTTCTCATATGTAAAACTAGAAAGTTAAGGTCCCTTATTTTTAAGGTATCTTCCATCATTAAAATTATGATTCAGGTTTTTTCTTTGTTATATTGTTTCCATCATAACATCTTTATTTTAACTTGTAAATTCAAATAGACAGCGAACATTTACCAAATACCATAATACATGTCAGACTACATATATACATATAGATGAGCATTTTAGTCATAGATTTTTTTTAACTGTAGAAATTGTAAATTGGTAACTTAATGGTAATAGCACATGCTCATTGAATAAAATATAGAACAAGTGGAAAACATAAACAAGAATAAAGTGTTCTATTGTATTTTCACTGCTTAGAGTTAAACCGCTAATAACATTTTTATGTATGTATTTCTAATAACTCTGTGCACAGATAGTAAACACATAAGCAAAATTGAGATCATGGTATACATTCTATTTTGTAACCTGTTCTTTTCATTTGGATTGGAAGTATTTCCCCTGACATTACACATTTGAACATATTTTTTTTAACATATTTTAATTGTCTGCATATAATTCATTATAAGACTTTCATAATCAGTTCTGTTGTGCATATTCAAATTATTTCTAGTTTTCCTTTGTTTATGATGCTGCATTGAACCCTCTTGTGTATGAATCCTTATAGGTCTTTGATTTCTCCAAAGGAGATTTCTCGATGGCAAAGAATTGTACTGAATTATATAGTCTTAATTTACACATGATATTGTGATCATGTTTTTTTCCTTTTTAAAAATACAACACTTTTAATGATATAGTCATGTCACTTTGAGGTACAGGTAGATTTGCTTCAGACTGCTGTATGGTATTTATATGCATTCAAAGCATTTTATTTATTTCCTTACTGAATTGCCTCCAACTTCTCATAACACAAATGATGACATAATGAACATCCTCTGTAATGCACATCCTTGTGCCTGTCCCCTTAAGAGTCTGTGTGACAGTTACTCTAGGCCTTTTACCTAAGGATGGGATTTCAGAGTCATAGGACATTCATATATACTTATTTTTACCAATTATTCTGTTTGTCTGGCTTTTGTTGAATATTACTGGTTTATCCTCCGGAAAAGTTGTACCAATTTACATACCTACCAGTAGGGTAGGAGCACACAAAATTGGTGTATTTTAACTCCAAAACTAATACATCATCTTTTCTTTGTTTCTAGCAGCCATGGCAATGACAGGCTCAACACCTTGCTCGTCCATGAGTAATCACACAAAGGAAAGGGTGACAATGACCAAAGTGACACTGGAGAATTTTTATAGCAACCTTATCGCTCAACATGAAGAACGAGAAATGAGGTAAAGAATTTTGTTTGAGAAAATTATGTCATGGTTTTGGCATTTACCTATGTCTGTTATCGTAAAACACATTTGTAATATTGTTGGCAGGAGACAAGAATGACAGCGGCCATATTATAGCCTATCCCATTACAATGGAATGACAGCGGCATTGATTTCCAAAGTCCTTATTATTAACCCACTTATTTCTACTACTAAGTCAATAGCACAAAGTTTTATGGTAGTATAAAAAAATTAATTGGGCAAGTCCTCAGAATTTATTAAGGCAGTGTGTTGTAACGGAAAGAATAGCCCTTATGCAATCAGATTTGGGTTTAGAATCCCGCCTTTAACCTTTAGTAGCTCTATGAAACTGTAACAAGTTTCTTAGTCTTTCTGTGTATCAGTTCCCCCATCTGGAAAATGGGGATAATACTTCTTACCTTGCAGGGTTGCTGTGGGGATAAGACACAACATGTGTGAGTACTCACCATAGTGCTTCATACATAGTAATCACTTAGTTAATGGTGGTATAACGGCTATTGTTATTGATCTAGTGAATACTAGTCATGTAGTAACTCATAATTAAAAATTTCCCCCAAATTTTATTATGAAAATGTTCAAAAATGCAGAAAAATGGAAAGAATTGTCTACAGTGTATACTCACATATACATCATCTAGATTCTGCAGTTATCATTCGTTGTTTTATCACATATCCTTCTATCCATTCATTAATCTATCTTAATTTTTTGCTGTTCTTCATAGTATGTTGCAGATGTCAGTATATTTTACTTCTGAATATTTCTCCTTGTATAACAAACTAGACTTCAGTATGTATATGGTTTTCTTAAAGGAGTGTAAAATTTGTGTACAATGAAATACACAACCTTAAGGGTGACCATTTGATGAGTTTTAACAAATGCATACACTTGTATAACTTAAACTCCTATAAAGACATAAAACATTACCATTATCCCAGAAAGTTCTTTCATTCCTGGAAACATTCTTTCAATCCCAAGCAACTACTGTTGTGATTTTGTTTCTGTCATTGATTAGTTTTGCCTGTTCCATACAAATGGATTCATATAGTAAGTACTCATTTGTGTAAGGCATCACTCAGCCTAATGTTTTCAAGGTACAACCATGTTGCTATTTTATCAATGATTTGTTCCTTTATATTGCTGAGTACTATTCTGTTTTCTGCTTGTACCTCAGTTTCTTTAGATGGTCTTCTGTTGATAAACATCTGGGCTTTTTTCAATTTTTGGCTATTTTGAATAAGTTTCTATGAGTATTGGTATATAGATCTTTCTGTGAACATTTGTTTTCAGTTCTTGGGTAAATATTTAGGAGTGAAATTGCTGGGTCATAAACATACATAAATATATGTTTAGTTTTGTAAGAAATTGCTAGTTCTTTTTCTAAGATTATATCAACAATGTATGAGAGCTCCAGTGGCTTTACATTTTTTGCTAACATTCGTGTTGTCAGTCTTTTAACTTTAGCTATCCTTGTGGATGTTGAGTGGTATCTCTCTGTTGTTTTACTTTGCATTTCTCTGATGATTAATGATGTTGAACATTTTTTATGTGCTTTTAGCCATTTGTATATTTTCCTTTGTGAAGTGTTTGTTCAAATTTTTTGACTGAATTGTAGGAGTTCTTTATATCTCCTAGATACTGGTCCTTTGTCATATGTATGTTTT